AGTCACGGGTGATAGTCCTCACATCAGGTGAGAGACTAGGGTGGTGATATGTACAATTTGTGGAATACGGCGGGGGGGGGGGGGGGGGCACTCTCAAGTGGGAAAAACGACAACAACTACATGATCAAAGTAGTGTTGACAGTCCTCACATAATGTGAATATCTAGGGTGGTGATATGTTTGAATGTATGCTTAATCATTGTTCACCATGGGTATTCTTCAGTCACGACATTCCACTGATGAATGTGACATGAAAATCGATTTTGGAAAACTTTCATGACTTCGTTCTTGTGTGGCGATGACAGCAGAATTTGTTCTCTTTATTGCTATTTTAAAATTGTTGTCTCCGCGTCGATTATTTGCAGATATCTGAATTTCAGAGTTTTAGAAAGATGACTGGCACTACTGCACTGTACATGTAAAATTGCGATTGGCGCGGCATAACTTTAGCGAAAACACTCCTCTCGATCTCGATAAAGTCGCCAAACTATCACCGGCGCTTACGCTAGCCGTTTAACAGTAGGTAGTATTTCAGTTCTCTTCTAGTGTTGCTGCTATTGCTTTGTCCACACAATCCTCATCTACATGTACAGCTGGTTCTCCGACAGCAGCACAAGCAGCAGCGCCTTCTTAATGCCGTTTCTCTACTCAGAAGATGGCATCTTGAAGGGCTTGAATTGGGGGATGTCTTTCGTGCGAACTAGTTCCTGCGAAACCTGATTTAATTAAAGCACATACGGGGTTTCTACTCAAGTAGTACTCAATCTGCGAACAGAACTGTTTCGTCCTTTGTGGACTTGTCAGCGCAGCACAGAGAAAATGAGTCCGAACATGGGTTTTCTAGTACTGGTTTTATGCTTATCTTTTGGTTATACTTAGAATGCTTTGGAACACCGGCATGTTCATGAAAAAGACCCGCTGCTGAGTGGTTCCGTGTACGAGTACAAGTATGAATGCTGGTGAGAATTGGTGCCGAGCAGGGAGTTGTATAGACCTAGGAGAGGACACGGCACTGATTTCCGTGGGCAGCGTGTGCCTCGCCCCATGCTCAAGCCACCCGTGAATTGTTTTGTTTTTTTCGCTGAGTACTTCTCAGGACGTGAGAAAAAGAATATCACAGTCTCTGATCACAGGTAGTCTCTGAAACCAGGCTGCACTTTGCACATCCAATACATGTACCAAAAAAGTAGCACCAAAGAATGGTGGTCTTGCAGCCCAGGTGCGCTCATCACAGCTGTGATGAATGCTGTGAGAAGCGGTCATTTCTCTAAACAAATCTTTTCTCATATTCTTTTCTGCAGCGCCTACATAACGTGAAGCAGCTTACTGATGAAGCGGCGGCAAAGAAGAAACGGCAATCTGACAAACTTCTGGGGATCAAACTTCCGCCGAAAACTAATGAAGAATGAGATATGAGATCGTGGCTCCTTCAATGGCCACTTGCTTTTTTGAGTCTTCCAATTTCTCAACTCGAGGCGGATGAAGTGCATCAAGCATATGCTGTTGATGCTAGATAATGAGGAGACAGGTCCGAGACCGGCCAGATTCTATGGCTACAAATTTTTGACAGTTAAACGGATCTGTCTATGGCGGTATCTGGCTGCTTGCCAGTTGACAATTTATTTAATTGAATCCAGGCTCTCCTCGACCTGCTAGAAACTGACCTCCATGTCTAGTGGGAAAGTTGAGCTCTGTGTAGGCAGCTGGTGCCTGCTGCCCCTAGTTGTCCTGCTGTATACCTCCAGGCATTTAGCCATGGAATGTTGCAGAGTTCACTTCTAATCTTGCTTTTTTTAGGCGGAGATTGTTTCGGAAAATGTCTACAATATTGCTCAAACAAGGCTGACTGTAATCAGGCTTTTCACTCTACTTAGCCGCTGGTCATTGCCCATAGGATCAGAACAATAACCCATTCATGGCATTTCTTCTTCATGATGCAAGCTTATCTATAACTTATTTCGTTGGTAGGAGCCTCTGGACAAAGAGGTTATGATTCGAAGCTCGGGCTATGAAGCTGTTTTGTTCTTGGGTTTCGTATAGCTGTGATAGCTGTGATAGCTGTGTGTCTGTAGTTGCATGGTATTGTGTACAGTCATGTACTAGTACTCCTGTATCATGCATGCAGCTTCACCATGCTATGATTGTGACCAAAGGCGGCCTCAACACTATTTCCCACGGCTTGCTCTACAGTTCACGATGGCAAATGTTCGCAGAGCACGGTGGCCACGCACATACCCACTGTTGACGTTTGATTTCGCGTTGGTTAATACTAGTAACTGTTATTCGCATTGTGCTGTCCCCACAGGACAACCCAACTCCCGCGGACCCGCAAAATTCCGCGTTCTTGGCTTGCACCCGTGTTTTCAGGAAAATTTGCCTGAACCCGCATACATAATCCAGGGGAATGTACAAGAGAATGTAGATGATGGTGGAAAATGTACTACACTCGTACTCGTACCTATTATCCGGGCAGTCCGGAACTGGGCACTGCCCATGACTATTTGAAATGTCCGTATTAAACTTTGAATTGTCCAGAACTCTGAATCGCACACGTTTTGATGGTGAAAAGCCAGAGATATGGCATGTGATGTCGCTATGTCTACTTAGAGTAGAGTGAGCGGATGTTGAGCCGGTAGATGGTAGTTTACGAATGCACATCTGCTCGTTTTGGTAGAACTTCGATTTTACCGCACGATGTATGATAATTTCTTTGGAAACCAGCTTTCATGATCACACAAGTACAGAAATGCCGTGCCTCTACCAACTTCTACAGACTTCTACCAGCCTCGCACCTGATAGAGCCGGTAGCGGAAAGTAGAACCTACTGTTTGGGGTAGGGGAAAAAAACGAACACATCTACCTCGTGCTAGTTTGTACGTGAAGTGTGTTGGTTATGCAGTGAGGGCTGCGGCCCACCCAGGGAGCTCTACGCATACCATCAAGAATATATAAGTAAGTTATACTCTTGATACCATGTGTAGGGCTCCCTGGTCCCACCCGCCTGTGTGGATTCACGGGATGTGTGAGTTACAAAAAAGTCTGAACAAAATGTTGAACGGTCGACCGGTCTCTGCTGGTATGATGACACCATAGCACAGTGGTTAGAGCACCGCTGGCTACAAGCGAGAGTCCCTGGTTAGAGTCCTGGTGGTGACAGTCAATTTTTTCTTCAGACGTTTCCCTTTTGCGTCTTTCCCTCAAACCAGTGAACATGTACCGAATGAAGTAGTTTCTACCCAAACCTGTAGATGAAAACAAACGCCCCTGAACGTAACAAACGAGTAGTAATAGAGAGGTTCCGCACTACGTAAAGTAATAGTTGAGCAACTTTACGTTAGTGGGCGGGAAAAACCCGTGAATTCGCGAGTTTGCACTCCACTTACGGAAAGTTGTCTACGGAGAGTACGTAGATAGGGCTCTGATAACGTAGCTGGTCCGTTAAAGGGGAAGTTAAGGCAAAAATTAAAATTTCACCAGTTGTAGTCTTCGGGGTGCTGAGTCGAATGGTCGTGGTCCGAGGAAGCTGAGACGCTCCCTTCCTACTTGAATCCCAATCGAACTCGCGCACTTCCACCGAAACTAGGTGACTGCGCCCTACTAGATGGGGATGTGCATGCAAAATGTCACTAAAAGCGCCATTTCGTTCTTATAAAAGCACGGATGACCGCGATTGGCCCATATGTTGTAGTCTTTTGGACGCTGAGTCGATTAGTTTTGGTCCGAAAAGGCTGCGATGCAGCGTTCCTCCTTTATTCCCAATCGAACATGGTTGAACATGCGGTCACGTGCTCCTGCGTACACCAGTCACCTGGTCACCGTGCCTGCAGGGTACAACTTACTAGCCTGTTTGACCTTTTTTGGGTGCAGTCCTGTCACTCGAGTTGAACCTTGGTGTGAAAGTTGTCGCCTGCTGGCGTGGTGACCAGGTGATTTGGGCACCCAGGAGCACGTGACCACTTGTTCAACCATGTTCGATTGGGAATAAAGGAGGAACGCTGCATCGCAGCCTTTTCGGACCAAAACCAGTCGACTCAGCGTCCAAAAGACTACAACATATGGGCCAATCGCGGTCATCCGTGCTTTTATAAGAACGAAATGGCGCTTTTAGTGACATTTTGCATACAAATCCCCATCTAGTAGGGCGCAGTCACCCAGTTTCGGTGGAAGTGCGCGAGTTCGATTGGGATTCAAGTAGGAAGGGAGCGTCTCAGCTTCCTCGGACCACGACCATTCGACTCAGCACCCCGAAGACTACAACTGGTGAAATTTTAATTTTTGCCTTAACTTCCCCTTTAACCAGGGCGATTGCGGTGTGCCTTGACCAGCTAGCTAATTTAATTGGTCCATAAAGGGTTAAAGGGGAAGTTAAGGCAAAAATTAAAATTTCACCAGTTGTAGTCTTCGGGGTGCTGATTCAAGAGTGTGGAATGCCAGCATAGCCAGGGAATGCATGGAAAGACAAGTGGGTTTCTTAGACTAGCCACTAGGGATGACGGTTGCTGCAAACAAGAACCCAACAGTGGTCCTTGGAAAGCACTGGTTTCGGAACTTCTTCCTTCAGAACTAAAAAAAACTTCAAATGAAAAAGGCTGGTAAGTACATACATGAACATCGCGTCAGGACCGTGAAAACACAGCCTGTCACAGGAAACTTGATCACGTCCTGCAGCAAACCATGCATGCCAAGTGTGCAGCGCGTGCACAGCATGCCCCGTCTCGACCCCTCTCGCTTATTGTGCAAAGGGTCTATTCTAAATTACACCTGAAACCTGGCAGGTCCCTGCCACCGAAATTTCAATGCACCTACTTGTAAAATTACATGTTTTACAGTATTCAACTGAAAAATTAGATCCGGGATGCACCCTACGTCTAGACAATACAAGGTGTTCCGTGTTAGTACCTGTCCATCCCTTCTACAGTCCATTTCAAAACTATAGACGCGTGAACTCATACGTACGAGCCATACGTACTGTAGCGCACGACAGCCGTGAGTTTTGCATGAGTGTTTTCTGGTTTTTCTTCATCGCCGCGGGAAATACAAAAGATGCAAAACGCGCAAAGTCGCAAATGAAAAGGTATGAGGAAAGTCTCAAAAGAAATGTAGTTCTACATGTATTTTAATATTGTTAACCCATTACCATTGAATATTTGACTGGAACACTTACTTAGTTACCATGGTTACTATCCATGAAATAATTATAATCTCTGTTATAATAGTACTATCATGACAGATTCATCATTGTATAGATGGGCAGACGTTGTTTGGAGGTCAGCAATTACGCAAGGTGGCCTCCTCGTGTTCCTTGTAACGTCTTTGCTCCTCGTCTGTGAGAAGCATGCCAGCGGCGGCGCAGTGCGGGCTGCCATCCCGCGTTGACCGCATCCTGCACGCCGTGGCTCTCTGGCAGCCGGCATCGCACGGCTCACTACGCGTCGAGTGCACGCTGTACGTGTTGTACTGCTGAGCGACGGATGCGTTCTTCAACACGCGCTCGGCGAGTGCATCCCAGTCCGCTGGGTTCAGCGCGCTCATGCCGTATGCCTCCTTGGCCGTGTACTCGAGCTTCCAAACGGGCTGTTTGGTGATGTCGACTTCGGTCAGGTTGAGGATGTACGTGGCATGGTCCAAGACAGCATGGCTGCTCCCCGTGTACTCTCCATCCTTCTGGTAGATCCTGTATGACGGATACGTACCGCTGCCCAGGTACGGTGTCACGCTTGGTCCAATATACCATGTGCCGATTGCCTCCGTGGGGTTATTGTTCTCATCATCGTACAGAACCGCCACCTATTATGTGTGCAAAGAGTAAAGCAGTAACAAACAGTGCACACTCCGTTGCCACATTTGTTCGAACACCTCTGGAATAAAACTCCACGAGCTGCCATCACCCATCGTATGCACACCAGTGGGCTGTCATGCTTGCAAATTTCAATGTTATTAATTTTCAAGTTTGGGGTTTAGGAAGCGTGTGTCTTACCATAGTATGGAGGCGATCATCACGCTGTGTGCAACCTCGCCGATTCGGAAACCAAGGCACGACAACTCACAACATTGCAAATGCCAGATAGCTAGGTTGTTTAGAATAAAATAGTCATCTAGCATTCACGTGACTTGACTCCAATCCTATGGTGGAGCATGCACTCCACTACCTCCTGAGCCCTGACTTTGCACTTCTAAAATTTTGCTCCAGTGTTGGAGCTGAGTCAAGTCATCCGAATGCTGGCTTCAATTCATTACTCATAAGGTTCTTCTATTCCAAGCTGCCTAGCTGCTATCTAGCATTTGCAGTGCTGTGGGTTGTTGCGTGTGTCTTAGCTTCCGTATCGAGGTTGAAGCCACACCTACATAGAGATGTGGCTAAAAAATGTTACCGTTTTCGAAAAGCTCCGTGACGTAGTTTTCACCACATACCAGTTACAATTTGACAAGAGGCAGGGAAACAAAGCGAATGACTGTGATCCACAGTGCAGTTTCAGGAGAACCGGGCAGGACTTAGGTCTTCCCAATCGGGTGTGTACTTGTTCCGACAAGGTTTTGTTCAACAAGACGCTTCAGTGGGCTCACAAGAGTGCTAGAGCTCTCATTCTCTAATTTTCTCACCTCATCAGTATGGGTGTGGCCAAAAAAGTGGCTGCGGATTGTGTTGGAGTACCTGTTCACGATTTTATGATACGTCCAACTCCATGCATGAAGGCAGCCACCTCGTGGTGGGATGTGTCCGATGATATAAACCTGAGCACAATATGAGCACACACATCTGTTAGAATTGCAACCGGTGTTAAATTGGGTGCATGTGCATCGAAGTGGTGTGACAAAAGCAACCTATCAGTTCAATAGAAGAGCAGGCATACACTAGCGATACCCGGCATTCCTTGGCATCCATGCTGGACCTGGACTGTACATGTCTCTCAATACCTGCCAAATTCGTTCTTAGTTTTCATCCTACACGACCAAAGTGCATGCTGTACCTTCTCATTCTTGTCCTCGGCATCTTGTAGCTGATCTCTCATCCATGCCAACTGGCCCACAGGGTCTGTGTTATTTATGAGAAGCCACCAATTCAGCGGATTGCAGTAGTTCACATTCAGTGACAACAAGCGAAGGCCCGTCTCTAGTTCCACCGAGTAGAAACCACCTGTATGCGACAGTACACAGCAACACAAATGAATCAACTACACATACAGTTGACTGCGGATACTATAATTATTACTTCAAAGTAAAATTACTTCGAAGTAAAATAGAGAGGTTCTGCACTACGTAAAGTTGAACAACTTTACGTTAGTGGGCGGGAAAAACCCATGAATTCGCGAGTTTACACTCCACTTACGGAAAGTTGTCTACGGAGAGTACGTAGATAGGGCTCTGATAACGTAGCTGGTCCGTAAGTGGATTGGGGTACAAATTTATGACTCTCTCCCCATGTCGATCTGGTCGTACACTGCCGCATTCGGAGTTGCCAAGGGCAGCTACGTGATTTGAAAACTCCGTATGGCGGAACCCAGATGCGCATGCAGTTAACGTAAGACTTTCCGTAGATCGACTACGTTTTTTACTAACGTAATTACGTTATGCGGAACCTCTCTAATAACGCCATTGTGCAGGAGTTCCTCATAGACGACGTTCTTCACAACAGAAATGCAGTCACAAAATACAAGCAACACATTATGACTTGCATGTGGCCCATGACAGTATGAGTGCAATTCGTTTACATGCGGCCCTCCCCACATCAGTTCTCTTCAGCATTTGCGGGTGTTCCGCTATCCAGACGGTCGCTCAGTGGGAGGACCAAATCGGTCTTACTGGGAGGCTTGGCAAATTCTTTTGAAACTGTTGGCACACGCACTAGCAGGTCCGGACATTGAAAACCAGGCACTGCTATAATATTCATCTATGGTCGAGTAGGCGTTCTCGCCGGACTACCTGAAATCCCGGTGCTACGCGCCTGATTGTTCAGGCTGCTGGTACCCAGACAAATTAAGCACCCGGCCATGCCAGCTAGCTCAGCATACTACTGTACTAGTATCCTCTTTTTGGACGAGCGTGGATACTAAGCCAAGGAGGAAGGTGCTTACCTAGCCGGATAGTTTCCTGAGTTGACTCTGGAAGCCATCTTGCCCAGTCCTTTGCCAGCGTATCCAGGAGCCACTTGTGATTGTTATGTCCAGTGACGTACGGCGGTGGAAAACTATTGACCGGAGCGCTTTCGTGATTTCCGACGGCTGGGTAGACTTTGACGTTCGGAAAGTACTTCGTGAAGAGGCTGCTCAGCAAGTCGATTGCTGCCACAATGTCGCTGCGGCTCTGGTTCCAGACGTTGTGAGCGGGTACGTCGCCCGTGAAGATAATGTACTTGATATCAGTGTGTGTCTTGCTGACGTGCTCCATCAGATTCTCGACGAGCAGGCGCGGGCTGTCGCAGTTAAACGCCCCGTAGTCTCCGGCAGTGCCGGGCCCAAACCAAGCACGGCAGCACAGCGGCTCATTGCACGTGTTCAGAGAGCCGGGCGCGTACTTGCTGTCCGTGTGAATGTCCGACAGGTGCAAGATTACCGTTTCCGGCGAGCCGCTCTTTGGCGGCTGGGGTGGCACATACTTTGGTTTTGGCGTACTGAGAAGCGGTATGGTCCAGTTCTCGTTCCACGGGTTATGGAACTGTGCGCAGCTATTGCCCAGCAAAGCACCGCACAGTTCTTTGGGACCAAGGCCCACTTCAGCAACGACGCCAATAAACTCGTCCTTGAACTCGGGAATGATGCCATGGCACACTCTGCTGTCGGCTTCGTCCAGGCCAATACAGATGTCAAGGGCTACCTTCACAATCAACTCCTCAGAAGCATTTGTTTGGATGAGACCCTGCAGGGTTGTGGCAGCCACCTCGCATGCCACACAGGTGAGTCCACCCAACACCTTGGCTCCTGATGCATTGGCCTTTTCTATGCGCTTGATGAGCTGATTGGTTCGCTCCTGACTGTATGCAGTCTTGCTCTGACCTTCTTTCATGTAGTGGGCTGCAGCCGAGCGGCTGTTCGTTGCCTCGTAGCGAGCTTGCAAGTCCCCCGTGGGATATGCCTCGGTGCCGCAGTGGAGTCCGGAAAGGAGACAAACAGCGACTAGCAGACTGAGTATTATATATTCACCTGGCATTGTGATGCACTGTCTGAGGTGATGATGCTCCACTCCCGATTTTGGCGGTTCCCACTCTCAGTACCTAAGAGATGCGCTCCGCGGCTACTTGGTCTCGCTCCTGCTCCAAACTTCTCACAACAAAGCGAATGCAGAAGGGCACACAGAATACTGTACTGAGAAGGAGAGAGAAGCCAGCCGTAAATCGAGCGAGTGTGGGTACACTGTATTAGTTCCGTGGCCCTGGACTGGCTGGAGGCAAACCTGTCGCTGGCCCTACACCATGTACACAACACTCTACGGTCAGAGCTAGCTGTCTTCCTTCCGATCCAGCCTCAAGATTGATCTGTCTACTGAGGTTTCACGGGACAGCTAGCTGCGCAGTTTGAATACTAGTAAGTACTGTAAGACATGTTATTATAACGAGTCGCAAATTTAACGATTGTCCAAAATTCATAGGTTAACGAGAAAATATGTTAACGATCTTGCACTATTCTGCCATATCCACACACAGCATACATGAAGCAGTACGGCCTCAACGGATCTTATTATAACGAAGAAATGTCATCCGTTAAAACGTTAGATTTGCTTCCTCGTTATATATACATGTCTTACAGTAGTAGTAGTACTAGTATAAAAATATTGTTATTTTTGTGTGAACCAAGCTTGCAAGAAATTTCGAAAAAGGAGTAAAGTTTGTATGACCCGTACCCATGGTACCCGAGCAGCAACGTGAAGAAAAAAATTAATAATGAGGTCAGTCTCGTAGTCTAGGAAACGACCAATCAGTCACGTTCCCCAGAAAGGCATCGTGCGTATACGCGTACACCGTGTACGTGCGTACAACTGTATGTACGCAGCACGGCGCCACATGCACAGCATGAACGCGCACAGATCACGAGATCTGCAGAAAATTAAAAACGGTGCAGCCGGTGTACGACTAAACGCTCGCGCTAGCGCTACGCATTTCAAAAAATTAATGTGTACGCCTAACTAAAATTACCGTGATACTTCCTATATAACAAGGCCGCGCTAGCTACTATACTAGCTAGCTAGCTATGCGCAAGGCCGTGTCATGACGTCAGTCCGTGCGCCAGACCCTGTTTTGGCCCGATTTTTATTTTCTGCGCGGGAACCATACGTGCAGACGTTATGCAGGGAAAGATGACGACGCCGGTTAATTGTTGGCCGATTTGTTGCCTACCTCGAGGCCAGTCGGTGAAATGAGGGCTTCCTTCTTCAAGAAATATGTTGCCAGTCGTTAGTCGGATGCCACTCGTCTTCTAAACATCGTACTTGATGCAACCAGCGCAGTTGGATGGACGGGAGGCGAGGAATTTATCGTTTTCGATTTTCACCCTATTCTTGGTTGCCATTACATTGCAGCTGGCAGCACCACGACGGAATTTTTGCACAAGGGAGACTAGGTGAATTCAACTCCTCAGAGATATCGCCATGACAGGGTAAGGTTGTTTTAGCCCTGAAATTGTGTACAAACCAACGGCACGAAATTATGGAAATATTTATTTTTTCGCAATAATTGCATGTTTGTTGAAAAAATGTAGCCATCTTTGTATTGTGGCATCCTGGCGGTGTATTTCGTAACTATACTGCATGACAATATTATTTATGAGAAATGGCAGCGATTGCAGTGATTGTGAACAATGTACAATCAACAGCATTGGCAAAAATAATGCAGAGCTGTATGGTACTTTGGTACAATTTGCCTGTATATTGGTATTTGAACACAATGCATGAAGCAGAAGAGCATAATAATGTTGACTTGTCAATTTAAAGTTAAGACGTGAATATGAAACCCATGACCAATGCCAATAGCCCAATGATGAAGGGTCTGCGCAATGCTGAAGGGTCTGTGCAATTACATTGTGTGTGACATTGTATACAAAAATTCCCTGTGGCATAATCATGCACTCCATGCATTCACATGCTTGAGCGGTGATATTTGCTACTGTACATGGTAAAAATCTAGTGGCGCCATGCTCCTTGGTATGTGTGTGTGTGCGCGTGTGTGTGTGTGCAGCGATTTCCAATCGAGAGGTTGCGGGTTCGATTCCCGACGATTATGGTCACACACGTCTTTCTTCTCTTTCTCAGACTCCTGCTGACTTTTCTTTCATACTCCTGGGTGGCTACCAACAGCCAGTGCATGCCGGAGTATGTGGTGTGATGTGTGTGTGGGGGGAAAAAATGAAAAAGACCTAAAAGTAGGGATTCACAGGCCAGAAAAAGCCACTTCATAGCTGTGTGGTGTAGACCAGGCTGAATAGTGGCGGTCTATTCTTCAGCCTTGCAAGCTGTTGAATGGTGCAATCCCAGCACAAGCTCCTATGGCTTCTGCTGTAGCATCGCTATCATCGCCTCTGGCGATGGGCGTCCAATGGTCCAATGGTGTGTGTGTACACTGCACTCTCTGTGTATTGATGCCTATGTAGATATCACCATGGTCAACAAGGTCAAACGCTTCCAGCTGCCAACAGTGGATTACCTCATTTCTCCCACTGGGGTGGTCCTAGCTTGAAGTGATGTATGATATTTACTAGGGCCGAAACGATTGCCCATTTTGCCTTAACGATTAACCAATAACACTAACGATCGATTTATTGGTTTTACAGATTTTCCGAACAAGTTTTATACATGTCATATTGGACATCTGTATACGGCAAAAACAAAATTTGTTCAACTATGTACAGGTACGTACGGGTGAAAGATCCACACAGGCCCAAAAAGACCAAAATGAAATTTGCAACGTGACAGTATAGCAGTGTTCCTCTGCCATTAGGCATCAACGATCAGTCCTCTGTCTTCTACAATGGAGAAGGGTCGACTGGAATCGACAGTCCAGTCGATGATCGACTCCGTCAACATGCCTGAGCGCCTGCTGTCGCACGTTCGCAAGTTACCTGTGCTGAAGAACGACATGACAGGCTTCGTTCCAGCACTGGTCGTCGCATTGTCACTGCACTCAACATTGCTGGTAGTCGTCGTTGCTGTCGACTGGGTTGCTGGTCCTTTCCCTACCGCAGCGGCGTACAGGTCTTTATGAGCAGAAATCAAGCGCTAGAACAAGTTGGTTGTTCCGCTTTGGCGGACGAACTTGCGGCTGCACAAATTGCATCTCACTACGCTATCAGCTTCCTCGAAATATGCCCAAGCTGGCGATCTCTTGGTCCAACTAACTTTCGCTTTTACAGGCGGCAGCATTGTCACTGCTCTCCTCGCCAAAAAACCAAAACTAACGAAGTTTTTGACAAGAACTGAACAAATTAGAAGGCCGGCAGCCACACTCACAGTTTCGCTATGACCTAAAATTGTGAAGCTTTCCGGTTGTTACACTTTCCGGCTACGCTGACTAGTGCAGTGAATGCGCGGAATGTACGACTACGAGTACAGTACCCAAAAGGATCAAGCGCTAGCGCGCATTGATTGTACGGACCTACGGCTTCATGCACGTGTACTTCGACGTCCATGTACTTGTGCGCATGGCGCGTGCATGATGTCATGCATCGTCTGCATGTACTGACGTCATGACCGCTCTCGCACTGTACAGTCATAATCGTTATCGATCATAACGATTATCGATTTCATCCATAACGAGTGATATACGAGTAATCGGTATAATCGTTTCGGCCCTAATATTTACCACCGATTCATGCGATCCCTCCCAGCACATGCTGCTTTTCAGTAATGCCACTGCCCGCTGTACTATTATTTCCTTTACTGGCCTAACTGGCTTTAACAAAGTAATACTTTACTACCCACTCTACTCAGTGTCATTACCTTCATTGGCCTTTTATAATTTATTCTCCTTTTTAGTCGATATCATGTAATTAGGCAAATTTGCCTGTTTGTTCTTCGACTCTAAATAAACAAACAAACAAACAAAAAATATTTGCTTACATTTGAAAGCCATCTGCTGGAAGGCAGTCAAATGGGTTTTTCGTCAAACACAACCCTACCAATGAAATGAAGACAACGAGGCAGGAGAGCAGAGACAACGAATGGTGGAGTCATGAGGTGGCTGTGCCTTGGGGAAGATCCAGCTCAACAAGGTGTTCTTGCAAGTTTGATCAGTACACCGCCCTGGTCCGAATCCTCAATATCAGTGAACCTTACAGATTGATGGCTGCTGCCTTGGCCCTTGACTCGTGATACCTACGATTGGATACAAGCTGCTCCAAGTATGTTTCAAATAAGAGTACAATCATGTACATGTATCTTGGACTTAGCATGAGAGGCATCCACGTCGTTGATAACAGCAGAACCTTTGCATGACTGTCATAACACTCTCCTTATTGCAATATTTAGCCAATACTCCAGTTGTTGTAGCAGCTACCACCCCACTACAAGTATGCATTCATTTCCTGGCTGGCTTGTGTAAACATATGAATGCAATCATGTGACGCTTTGTGTACATATGCTCCCATACTTTAGTGCATGTGCGTGCGTGTGGTCAGGTATGGGTGTGTATGTTCGTGCACCTACATGTACATGTATGTGTGCGTTTACATGTACGATCGGTCATGCAGACGTGTGTGGGTCTGTTTAAAACCGCATGAACACATGTCAATTCCCGTGTGCATGTATGTACGGGTGTGTGGGTAAGCATATTCTTTGCTCTATGCGTCCACCGTGCATTAAGGTACGGGCATGTGTCCTTTATGTGTTGTAGCTTGTGGCATGGCGGTTGTGCTGTAAACAGTAATACAGTGCTGGCAACTGAAATCCTACCCCCTGGCCGGCGCGCCGCCCCGGCAAGGGGGTCGGATTTCAGTTGCCAGCACTGTGCCTTATTTGGCCATTCGCAGATGCCATTTTTTCACTTCAATTCTGCATTGGCTCAGGTGCTGTGTTTGTAGTGTCATCCTCTCTGCATGAATTATTTATATTTCTTTCCCACCTCAGTACATGTACTGTATTTGGCATGATATTGTTGCTGTTCTACATACAACTTACAAGTATAGGTACATGCATTGATCTGCGAGGGTTTGTGTTTGGAACTCCAGCAACCTGTTGGGGTACGTGTTGTTTATAAATTCGTGGTCTACGGATACAATGGTCTGCCTGGTACATCGCAGAATACCAGGACCCCTTGAACGATTCTGTCGGTCGTTCCTAAGTCCACCAATTGAAGACATGTGTGTGTCAAAATGTGTCAAAAATACTGTGTTGACAAAACGGTTGGTATCACCGGTGCACCGCTGTCAGATATTTTGCACAAGCCAAAATTGGAGGATGAACTGGTGGCTAATATCTCTTTCTAATAGGGCTTGAAAGTGATGACGTCAAAACGGCCAGGGAGTAGTAAGTTGACATCAGATTTCTATTTTTGGATCCACTAAGGTGTGGCTTTGCCTAGTCCATTCAGAAAAAATGAACTTC